TATATATATAGTTTCTGCAAACTTTCTTTGGTTCTTCCATTAAATATCTTTATTGCACAGCTAGGGGCTTATTCTATATCCTGCGTTAAAACCCTTACGGAGTTTTTTGTCAATTATTTTCAGTCAGTTATAAAAAACGTCAAATTTTCTTATCGCATCTCAGAATAAATGAGACACACTTTTAGGTAGAAATTTCAAAGATGGTCTTCATCGACCAATGAAGATGTAATCAACAATTTCTTATAAAGAAGTTACGTATGTAATATTTGTACCTCATTGCTAAAGAAATTTGCCTACACCAGTGTCTAGCAGTTTCACAAAATTTCATTGGGCGCATCAGAATATGACTTATTACACTCTAGGTTATTTATTTATTTATTTACGTCAAAAAAGTTAAAAACTATGTGTGATGTGTAATGGGGAGAAGTTTGAAGTTACATTTGTGTCCAGAAGCAAAACAAGGAGCCATCTCAGCATTTGCACAAGGATCAGGGAAACTGGACGAAAACCTGATCGAGAATAGATAGAATTATGCAATCCAAATGGTAAATAATACACTAAATTTCTTAGTTAAAATTAATATTACTTTCCTCTTGGATGCTCTGTATAGTCTCTAATTGTATAGAAACAGTTGTGCAGCAGAAAAACGATTTGCCTTGGGCCTTAAACTTTTGTATCGAATTTAATAGTTGAATATCGTCTTGCAAGATGCTGTAAATAATGTACAGGTGTTGTATTTCAATTTTTTGTAGTGAGCTGTTGATACTGTTACCTCATGAATATGATTACTACGTCGAGTGTTGTAGTTTTAGATATCAGCGTTTGCTGTAAATATATTCCCGCCCTTAAGTAAGTCATTTTTAACAAAAAACACTGATTCATATATCAATAGATAAGGTAATGGTAAGATAACTAGATTAATAAAGAGAGGCTTACAAGAATCACGTAGGTGTAATTTGCTTTTTACTCCTGCAATTCTTTTTTGTAATCTAAAAGTCTGGGAGTTAAAAAATGTATTTCCCCAGAATATTATGCCATGCCTAAGGCGGGAATGAACATTCGCAAAATATACACAACAAGCAGTATGGAGGCTGACTGAATTTGAAATAATTTGGAAAGCATAGCATAAAAACTTAATTTAGTTTTCAATTCATTTAAATGGGCGATCCATTTAAAGTTTGACTGCATTGTACGGAAAGTTATATACCAATTGGAAGGGGGGATGTCACGAGTAAAGTGGTTAAAATAAATTTCCAACCACATATTTAAGGATGAAAAATGATTAGTTTTGTTCACTCTACACATCATAGAAATTGTAAACATCATTCTGAGACATCTGACTATAGAATAGATAATATACAAGAAAATGCCTGAAGTGTACCCACCCAAATCATCATGTTGCGTTTCCTGCTGAGTGGTTTGGTTCTTCAAATTTGCTTTCTTTTCACGAATTACCTATAACAAACGTTAACTATAATCTCAAAATCTTTTATTTGCCGTTTGAAAAAAATATTTTTTTACTCAAAATAAAATAAAAACTTCTCCTCAGTTACTTTAATTTGTTTAATTAGTAATCGATAATACACACTTTCGATTACTGAAACATAAATCGTAGTTAATATGAGTAGTTAATTTAAAATAGTTTTGACCATATTAAAAAATGATACTTGCCTTAGTTGTAAAGGAGTGCAGGATCTCCAGACATTCTTTGTATCTCTTTCCGTCTTTTGTGAAAGAATAAACAAAGTCATTTCGCAACCAAGGTCGAAGCATTCTTCTTATGATTATTTCAGATATGCTGCAATGAAGTTTATGAAGTAATTAATTTTTTATCAGTATCTTATATGCAGAAGTGGCTGGCACGGCCCAAACCAGATGTAGCGGACATGTCTTCACAGGATAATGAAAAATTACAAAAACTTTCACTAGGCACAATTCAAAATTAGCTTTCAAAAATAAAGAATCTTTAAATCTTACTTAGCTTAAAAAGAAAAGACATTCTTTTCTTCATTTCGACAAATCCCAAAGCGTGTTCCTTATTTTAATGTTGATATATTCAGTAAATCTCCGAGAAAAATTAATTGTTTAGGCAGCCACTAGTCCAGGAGAATATTTCATAATACACATAACTGAACGTTCTAAACGTTCAATTTAACACTAGTACTAAATGTGAGACTCTGTTGAAGTGTTCAGATAAATCTGTAATTGCATCAAAGAAAACAAAATAATTTCCTACGACCGCATGAACTACCACTGACTATAATGCATCATTAAGTAATTTGTACTTGAATTAAAATAAATGAAAGTCAGTAAGGCTCCGTCGGCCTATTGACCTCGTGTCGCAGCATTTCCTACTCGCAAAATAAAATGTCACCTTTACTATTCGTATCATAAATAATAATTATACATCATTAGCTCAATAAAAAAATAAATATTGAGGGTAAGACATCTCATCTTAGGTGTTAAGTTAATTTCCCAAGCCCTTTACATCCCTCGCACTGCACTGCTCACCAATGAGCTCCTGACAAGTGAAATAACTTTAAAAACGACGCGTCTGAAGTAAGAAAAATTTGCCATAGCCGAAGGTGCTGCGTATGCAGACGAGTGATTTCTTCTACCCTCATTGCTCCAGGCCGACTCGAGGTTTAGAGGTCAGACATCTCTCCTTCCACCGCTGAGTACATTTAGATTTAGGTTTATTCAGTCAAAAAACAGTAAAATCTGTATGTGACGTAGGGGGGGAAAGATTATCTGCGCACTTGTTCTTGAGTTCCAGAATCCCTTCCCGTCATTTTAACCATAAATAGTTGAAAGGTGAGTAAAAGTTTAACATCAATAAATAATTTTTTAATTAAAAATCGTAAGATTAGCAATATTTGAAAAATAGTCATTTCGTTTCTGAGTTATAGAAAACTTATTTGCATCGATTTAAGTGGGTTCAAATCTCGGTCTTTCCGAGTAGAATTTGTGATGGGGAAAACGTGTACGTGTAAAGTTTGCTCATGTGCACAGGGAGGACAGAGCGCCACCGTAATGCTAAAACGTTTGAAAGGGAGCCCCTTATCATTATGAAATGAAACATTTTATTTCCGCAAATATGTTCGAGCTCATTTTCTCCTTTCTTAACCTGTCAATTTAGGGAATGGTTGCACATTTGGAGAAGGGACTCGTTAAGCCGTTTATAAATGATTTAACACAAAATAAATGTTTACATTTTGTATTTATAAATTTAATCATTAACGCCAACATTTTATTTTTGTAGATTATTTTATGTCATATTTTATGTAAAATATGGCACATATAAATAAAAATGATGAATTGAAAAGGGGTCTAAAAATGTTGTTAGACACCCCATCGCTATTGAGAACGCTTAGAAACTGGCATCTTAATAAATATGATATTTTAATATTTCCTGCTTTCTTCTCCTTAATTGAACTCCGCAGTTCTTGTTTGACAATTGCCTCTGCCTGGTTTCAACAATGAACTGACGAGGCATTGTGAAAAAAACGAGATGTAGATTTAGAGAAATTTGGAGTATGTTAGAATATGTTAGAGTGCGTTAGAAAGTGTTCGTGTGTTAAAGCGAAGGAGCGAGCGAGAGAGAGAGAGAGAGTGAGAGGGAAAGGGGATTACAATAGATGCTTATAAACGTCAGTGTGTGTTGTCGAGACAAGGTTCTTGCAGTGGATGCGCATGACTTACTCGTAGATGGCGTCCACGTAGGGTGAGTTGAAGTTCTCCTGCGCGTTCACCTCTGTGCCCATCGCCGTCTCTGCGCACACGACACACACTCCATTCAGCACCCCCCCACACACACACACAGGAACAACAGAAAACAAAGAACAGTAGAAAACAAAGAAGTGATGTAGGCAAGTTCTCTTTTGTGAATCGCATTGTAGTAGATTGCAACAAACTACCTGCAAAAGCACTAGAGACTCTTCCTTTTAATGTATTCAAATTTAAAAATATGATTATTCCATCTAGATCACCACTAAGAATACTGAGACATTTATCTTCATTATTATTATTATTATTATTATTATTATTATTATTATAACTAGGACATCAACCTCTAATTCTAATTGTAAATGTATGTAATAGTTTTGTAATTGTTCACATTCTAATTGTAATCATGTTTGCCACCGAGCACTAACTCAAAGCAAACGTTAATAAATCTA